AACATTGCAGTTACAACAGCCTGCATGTTCAAACTTTGAAACATTGTAAGGTTTTCATTCTTGTTATCAAGGTGGGAGGTTCTAAAAGCCCAATTAAAAAAAGAGATGTGTTATGTCATAAAGGGTGATGCGAGGTCTTCACAAATTTCAGTGCCCCGGACTTATTGGATGCCAATCAAAATCACAAAAAGAATGTGTTCTAGTACACACTGGCCCCTTTTTACTTTCTGTTTGAATGCCCTTTGAGTGTCTAATTGGTCTGGTATAAGCAATTGAGCAATGTATAAGACATTCACTGTTTGATGTAAAAAGAAACCAATACAATAAAAACAGCACTTTCCAAAATCATATACATTTATGTCATAAAATTGTGTACCTTGGTTGATTTTCCATTAATTATAAGTTGTTTACTCATTTCTTATTCCTGGTTTCAAATAAATTCTGCTTTTGTGTTGTTTATCATGAATGGAAGACGAGAGGCAATCCAGCCATTGAAAAAGGGTAGGCCTATACATAATTTATACTTATTTTTAGTATTGAAAATGTGATGAGGACAATTTTTGTGTGTCCCTCCTAGCTGTTACCTTGTTACAAGCTCAAATGTTTATTTACTGGTTTACTTAAAAGTTGCTCTCCCAGTGATAGTAAAGCTGGAAATTTGTTAAAGGTGAGTTTCACATTTCTTCGTATGATTTGTTAATTGTTACAAATTATACAAAATGAGAAATATGTAAACTGTGAATGGCCTCCATCCTGTCCCCACATCCCACTCAACTGTTTTTGTCCAAACGTTTCCAAAGGATGTCTCTACATGCACCCTCTAAGTCCACCTTTAAGATTTTAGCTTCTCACTGGCAAGTTAACCAACATCTATCCTGCATAGCCTTTCTATCAGAAATAGGTTTTGCATTTATGATATTGTATTACAGGGGGAAAAGAAGAAAAAACAATATCTGGTCTGTTTTGATATGCACAGCACGGCAGTCTGGAAAAACTGTATATTGTCTTTAGATTTAACAAATTTGTTCAGATGCTGTACAGTGTACATGATATTCGGTCATTTTACTCCCTCATGTAATTTTTACATTTGTTTGTCTGTGCAGCCAACACGGTGGCCCAAGCAGCACTGAACCAGGCACTTAAAACCCTAAAGATTCCCAATCAATCTGGTTCTGGACATCACTTTGAGTGGTCATTGTTCAAGTAAGACATTGTGACAATGTAAGATAGTTGTATTGATGATTGTGACAACGTACGATAGTTGTGATTACGATTTTTGACAAAGTAAGATGATTATGATACAAAATGTAGATGATATAAATAGATGATTGTAGCAAAATAAGATGATTGTGATAAAAAAGGTGATTGTAAGAAAGTGAGAAGGTTGTGATTGTAATTTTGATAAAGTGAGATGATCCATGATCGTTATGGTGATTGGGATCAAATAATTTGATTGTAACGAAATAAGATGATTATGAGAAAGAGATGATTATGAGAAAGTGAGATGATTGTGACTAAATGAGATGATAATGATGATGATTGTGACAAAGTAAGATGGTTGTGACAGAGTAAGATAGTTTTTAACAACATTAGATGATTGTTTCAGAAAAGAATAATTGTGATGATATATGGTGATTGCGACTTAGTTGTGACAAAGTAAGATGATTGTGACAACGTAAGATGGCTGTAACAACATTTAATTATTGTTTCCGAAGAGGATGATTATAATGATGTGTGGTGACTGAGATAGAGTTGTGACAAGTGCAATGATTGTGACAAAGTACAATGATTGTGACAAAGTGAAGATGTTAATCGCAAAGTACAATTTCCAGGACAAAAGAACGTAATTGCTTTGACACCCAATGATGGCAACCATGTATTTTTGCTATACAGTGTTTGCTCTAAAGGTTGTTCGTGGACTGAGGTTAGGGCATTGTTAGTAAGAGCTAAAGGGATGGTTAATATAGAGGTAAGGGGCTCACACACATTATCTGAGCTGAACTGTGCGAGGAGTCTGTGTTATTTCCTTCAGTCATTGATTTTTTAACACCCTTTCATCTGGCCGCACCCCCCCCATCCAGTACAGGCTATACCATAAAATAAAGTGTGTCAAAGTATCATTTGACCATTTTGACTTCAATTTTGTGAAAAGAGTTATAGACTTCTTTGTCCAACCTAAAGCGGAGATTTCTCGCTTGTGATGATATTCTCTATTTTCTGGACAACGAGTTTGAAGTAAAGTAAAATGTAGGTTCACGTGGCATCACTGTAATCTACGTCCTGATTCAGTTTTATATCGTGTAACAATTTCATAGCTTTATTACTATTAAGTCTGCTCCTTAGCTAAAAAAGCATGTTTGTTTCGTATATTTGTATCTGTCCAGCATCCAGAACCAAGGAGTCAATCTCCCGACCAGTCAGATTTCCTTGGACCCGCCTCACCATGGCTTAATCTGGTCCTTGAGAAACCTTGGCCTTTCCTTGAAGGCTGACTGGCGGGTCAAGTACAAGAAAGGATGGTAGGTCAACCGAGGCAACCGCTCACCCTGAGCGGCATGGCTTGGATTTGGGTTTTTAGATCATGTGGGCACATAACTACATAACTGGTATGGTGTCAATGTAGGTGTTTTGTGTCTGGTTTTATTGTGTACAAAACTCTAACTTCACAGTATTTTGGACCTTACTTTTATGATAATCTGATTTCCTCTTTAACAATGTTCATGACCCTAGTTTTACAGGATTCTTTACCCCCTTTTTACCTCCTTCAGAGCCCTGCTTTTACAACAATCAAAACTCCTGTTCTACGACTATCAAAATCCTCCAATTGTTGTTGTTTTGCTTTAATATCCACAAAATGAATGATAGACAATATTTATAAGTGAACATTGACTACATTTAAAAGCCTTCATTTATATTTTCTCATACAGAAGTGTTCCTAATGTTAGTTGCTGTGAATTCTTTGGATTTTTAAAAATAGTATGTCACACTGACAGGTTTTATGGACCGGGGAATATACTTCTCAAGCCAGACAAATTTGTAATGGAAGATGGCCTCCAAGTGTAAACAAGGTGTTCGCAGTGACTGTGCTGATGATGAACAAACATAAAATGCTTGTCAGTATAAAAAGAGACCTATGTAAATTAGCTATACTTTATTAACAGGGTGCTTTAGTTGAGTTTTAGTAAGAGTTTTACAGCCGTTGCCACATAAACAGGTTGTTTAAGTGCCAAAGATTAGAGGTGATACTACAGAGTAACATACAATTAAAAGGAGGAGAGATAAGGATGATGGATGTTTGATAGGAAAGAAGAAGCAAACTATACCAGAGCATCTGCCAACCATGCACCAAAGGGTGCAGTCTTCTTTTACCACCACGGGTTGACAGCTGTTGCTGGATCGATAACGACAGTGACAAAGGTTATTGCAAGTCGCAAGCCCCCCCTCCCCCCCCTCCCCATCATGGAATAAGTTAAAGGAGCTGTATAAAGCTATTTTCTTACACAAACTGTGGAAAGCCGTTTCCTGATAAAAAATTTGGAAATATCATTTAATTTGAGCAACTTATAAAATCAGTTAATAGGATGGAACCAGTAAAATTAAAGCTAGAGCTGTAATCTGTAGTCTTCCTCATACTCTTTTGTTCCAATTATAAATTCAGCATGTTTTTGCATTTAGGTGTTTTGATGGGTTTTCATTGAAATTTGTATTTGAGTAAAATACGGTAGCCTCAACTCAAAACCAGGGTGCTGCAGAGTAGTGGCCAGCAATTGTATGTATCATCGGTGTCGCAAGCCGCCCTCTTAGTCAATTTGGGTACTCTTTACACCAGAGACTAAAACAGAGTCTTTGTTATGTTGTTCCTACAGAACTTTGAAAAATAAGGAAATTCTTAGCCTTTACCATAGCATTAAACTGCATTTTGACCGTGCTAAAAGGTACATCTTTGAGAGAGCTTGGGAGGGTGTAAAAATCGAAAATTCTCAAACTTTGAGCTTAAGTGGATTAAATTGCTAGCAATAGAGACGAAATGCAAAAATGTTTGTATTGGTGTGATGTCATGTTTTGTTACAACTCAATGAATTATTAACTGAGTGTTTGTTTATGCCATTGTAAACCATCTTTCGCTAAGGGGATTTAATGATGGTAATATTTCTTTATTTCTTTATCATAATTCTATTTCCAGGGTCAAAATCTCTGATAGTGGCAGTGTCAGCGTGGATGTCAAAGGGGCCAGTGTCAGTGTCAGCATCAGCTTTGGTAAAGCCACATTAGTGATTGTCAGTTTGCGTCGGCTTTGTGTGAGATGCTCTTTGTATGTCAGTGGTAGGGTGCTTTTGGTGATAGTGTGTGAGATGTTGTGTGTTCATCAGTTGTATAGTACAAGTCTTGATGATGTGTGTATGTGTTATGACGTGGTGGAATCAGGTGCTCGTCAGTTTTTGGGTATATGGAGTTATTAGTACCATTATAAAGCTTGTTCATTTTTCTTGTTTGTGATTAAAAATTATCTATCAATCTTGAATAGAAATCGAGTTATTTGCAATTGAAGGAGGTGGGGTCGCCTGATTTCAGGGGTAAAATTAGCGAGAAAATGGCCGCCAAAGTCTGGTGTCTTACATAGCTTGAGAGACCTTAGAAACAAATAATTTACATTTTTTGCCCCATTTTATCAGCTTTTTTCATTGAAATCTTCACAGAAATGTGTTTTTCAACAGATATAAAAGGTGTTGAGCAATAAAACAAAAATTTGAAAAAAATTGCAAACCTGTGGAATAATGCCAGTTTCCCCTAAAAATACTATTATTTTAAAATCCAATGATCATTTGAGCATTTCTGGTAAATTTGTAATAAAACAGTCATCTACGATAAGATAGGATAAGATAAGATACATCTTTATTGTCCAGATCCTGGCACATTGGTTTTGTATTTCACCTCGTGTACACACACACACACACACACACACACACACACACACACACACACACACACACACACACACACACACACACACACACACACACACACACACACACACACACACACACACACACACACACATACACACACACACATACACACACACACACACACACACACACACACACAGCGCGCGCGGGGCACACATGCACACACATGCACACACACGTAGGCTTACAATCACCTGCATAATATAAATGAGCGGCAATATAAACAATAATAATAGTAAGCCAGGAAAGATTCAGCACTAGGTTTCGCCGGTACCACCCAGCACTACTGTCCAGAGTTTTGTTCTCTGCACTTTTCTGTTATAGAAAGACTGATTTCATTATTTCTCAGGTGTGGACAAAACGGGCAGGCCGTCCATGACCACAGCATCATGCAACGCGTATGTGAGGGACATAGATGTCAAGTTCCATGGAGGTCAGGCCTTCATCCTTAACTTGTTCCGTGGCACTGTGGAAGACAAGATCAAGGGTCTCCTGCCCGGCCAGGTGGGCGACTTGTTATTAACCATGAGATTTGTCGGTGTTGATTTCAGTGCTGTGGGTGGTTGGTGGGTGTTCTGGTGTTGTTTGTTCCGTCGTTCCTATCTAGTATCTATCATCCTTATCTCTCCTCCTTTTTTTATGTATCTTACTCTTCGGAAGAACTATGGAGGAAAATGAAAGACTCAATAATGGAAGCTGTAGAAGAAAATATCCCCCCAAAAGCTAAAAAAGCTAATAAAAAATGGATGACCCACGATATATTAAAACTAATGGAAGAGAAAAGAAAGGCAAAATCAAATGTGGAAAAGTAAAACATCTTAAACAGGGAAATAAAGAAAAAATGCAACGAAGCAAAAGAAACATGGGTAAATGATCAGTGTCAACAGAGAAGAACCAAAACAAAGACAGCAAATGCATGCATTCCAAAATCAAAGAAGTGGGATAAAAGGATGCTCAAATACAGGATGCATAAGATCAAAGGGAGGGGATATTTTAATGGACAACGAGGATGTCTTAAATAGATGGTCAGCATACATAGAAGAACTTTTCAAAGATAATAGAGGAGAAAAACTGGTAAAAAAGAATGAAATAAATGGACCACCAATACTGATAGCAGAAGTACAAGCTGCCATTAGGAAAATGAAACAAGGAAAAGCCACAGGGCCAGATAATATTCCAGTTGAAGTGATTGTCGCGCTTGAAGATCTAGGCACTGAAATAACCACAAAGCTCCTAAATGCTATTAATGACAGCGGTGAGATCCCAGAAGATATGATGAAGTCAGTTTTTATAGCTTTACCTAAAACACCAGGTGCCACTGAGTGTGATGGTTTACAAAAATATTGCTGCGAGTAATAATGGGAAGATTGAGAAAAAGTGAAAGACCAGAGATATCTAAAACGCAATTCGGCTTTGTTCCTGGCAAGGGCACCAGAAATGCTATATTCACCTTAACAATGTTAATGGAAAGATGCATTGAAGCGCAGAAAGATCTGTATTTATGCTTCATAGATTATTCAAAGGCGTTTGATAAAGTTGGACATGATGAGCTATTTAAAATACTGGAAAAGCTAGACATAGATGGAAAAGATCTAAGAATTATCAGAAATTTGTACCGGGACCAAAACGCTGCTGTACGGATTAATGGAGAATACAGTGAATATAAGCAGATTAGGCGAGGAGTGAGGTAAGGATGTGTTATGTCTCCAGACCTCTTTAACATGTACAGTGAAACAATCCTTAGAAACATAGAAGAATGTCCAGGCCTCAAAGTAAATGGAGAAAATATTAATAACATCAGGTATGCAGATGACACAGTTTTAATAGCAGGCTCCGAAAAGGACCTTCAATTGCTTCTAGATACTGTTGTAACAGAGTGAACGTAAAAGGATTATTGTTGAATGTAAAGAAAACGGAATGCATGGTAATATCCAAAAAAGAAGCAAATCCTAGTTGTAATCTCATTAGCAAAGGTGAAAAGATCAAACACATCCAACTGTTTAAATATCTTGGATATATGATAACATCTGATGCCAAATGTTCCTCAGAAATAAAAAGGAGTACTACAATGGCTAAGGCTAGTTTCAATAAAATGAGCCCAATCCTGAAAAATAGAAACATCTCAATGAACACCAAAATGAAAGTCCTGAAATGCTATGTTTGGTCAACCCTTCTATATGGCTATGAATGCTGGACAATCATTAAAGACAGTGAAAATAAAATGGAAGCAACAGAAATGTGGTTTCTTAGGAGACTGCTAAGAGTATCGTGGAAGGAAAAGAAATCAAATGAGGTGGTGCTTGATGAAGCCCGCGTGGGACCCTCAATGTTAAAAACAATCAAGAAACGACAAATGCAGTTTTTGGGACACCTGAATAGACATAAGGGTCTTGAACATCTAGCTCTCACTGGCAAAATTGAGGGCAAGCGAGGCAGGGGTTGGCCCAGAACAACATACTTCGGGACCTAAACAAATGGGTAACAAGGAAAGATCAGGGAAATGTAACTTTTTTGAGAGCATCCGAGCAAAGGAATGAATGGAAAACCATGATCGCCAATGTCTGTTGCAGATCTGGCACTGGATGATGATGACTCTTCTAGTAACACCTCTAATCTTCGGCACCTATATGACCTGTTTATGGTGCAAGTGCCCTAAAACTCTTACTAAAACAGGCAGGGGAAGGGGATTATGGTTGTGATTTCACTAACAACCTGATCATGTTGTCTGGCTGCTGCAGATGGGCACCTCATCTTTACATATGTGTACGTGCCAGGGAAAATGACCCCAATGTTGGCAGACCAAGTTTCATTCCAGAGCTCAAGATATGTGGGAAAATCGTTTGAGAACCAAAATGTAATCCTTGCAAAAATGTAATCTCTTTCCGTTTCTCCTTTTTAGTTTTAATGTCAGTAAGACTTTGATAGGCTTGTCTTGTCTTGTCTTGTCTTTTATTGCATTGTCTTGTCTTGCCTAGTCAATCTTTTTTTTACCAACTTATCTTGCTTATCTTACAAACCTCTGCCGGCCCACTATGTGACTACCCCTCAGAGACAGTGGAACATCATCTGTTCTTCTGTAGAAAACTAACTGATTTAAGGGGATGTTTTCTTCCCAAGCTACCCCACACATCTAACTGCCTGTACTCCTCAAGACAATAATTAAAACGAACATGACATGCAGCTATTACAGAACGGCATCATGCAGAAGAGTTAACGCTCAGATGCTACTGGATCGCTAACAACAACGACAACATCTTACAAACCTGAAGCTTTAGATTGTGGGTGCTCTGGTATGGTTTGCTCCTTCTTTCCTTTCAAACACCTATCACCTATATCTCTCCTCCTTCTTTTCTTTGTATTTTACTCTCTTGTAACCCCTCTAATCTTCAGCACTTATATTATATATTTGTCCTTGTGTTGCAAGTACCATTAAAACTTACTAAAACTAAAACTATAAAAATTTTGGCATGATTTTTTGCAATGCATTGCTTTATATCATATCTTTAAAAATCTCTCATTCCTTTAGATCTGCTTGAGATATGGGAAAAATTTAAAGGACGGCATAATAATATCTAAAACTGTTTACCTTGTTAGGAACTACTACCATGTCAGTTTTTATCATTAACAATGTTTGGGCTGCTTTCACATGTGCACGTAGGCATGCTGGTCGTAAACTAAAGCTGAATTCTATGACTGTGTCCACAGATCTGTAAATTAGTCAGTAAAGAGGTCAATGAAGATGGAGAAGCGAAGCTGGCCAAACTAAAAGGTGAGGTTTTGTAAGTCATCATTTGTTGGTGCCTGACCATCTCTTTAGTGCTACCATTGAGATAAATTCATCTGAAGTGTTACTGTTCCCATGGGTGGTTGATGGGTGCTCTGGTGTGGTTTGCTCCTTCTTTTCTATCAAACGTCTATCGTCCTTATCTCTCCTCCTTTGTTGTGTTTGTTACACTCTTGTAATATCTCTAATCTTCGGCACTTATATGACTTTATTGTTTTGTAAGTGCCATAAAACTATTACTAAAACTAAAACTATTGCTGTTTCCTCCTCTTGAGGAATAGCATGATTACAAAGATGTTCTCTTTTTCTAATTGATGTTACAGAAAATATAAAGAAAGTTAAAAACTTTGAGATACAGTAATGTGGAGAAGTGTTGTTCAAATCTCCTGAAGACATAGTACAGCTGGTGTGTAGTGGTTAGGCTCTTTGCCTTTACACGCAAAAGACAGGAGCTCAATTCACACATAGATATGTTATTTATTTTAGTACATCCATCTGTCTGTTGGGATGCTGTGTATCTCTCACCTCGGGTGGGCCAAGACATGCAGGCTTGAACCAGTCCACCACATAAATTATCTAGATTGTCTTGATAGGGGACTAATATAAGTACACTCAATCAGTATATCATTGCAAGGTGGGGGTGGGGGGTCCATAGTTTAACTATAGGGGAGCGAAGAATAACAAGTGTCATGTTACTGATTGTCATAAGTGGTGACTAATGAAGTGTAGGTATGTAGTTTTAACCTCCCGAAAAGAGCCAGTTGGTGGAGGGTCAACAACCCAACACAGTAAACATTTTAAAAGTTACAGAAACACATGCAAACACGTCTGATTTTTCAATCTTAGGAGAAAGAGGAGTTTATCAAGAGGCTAGCCTGGAATAGAGAAATGTGGAAAGTGTTTGTTTGTGGCCTATACCTAGATCCAGGGTGAGAAAGGCATTGACTATAATGAATGAATCAGTCGCATAGTATCGAACAAAACCTCAATTAATCAGAATAAAATGTTCTCCTCATATTCTTCTGGGTTTTTTGGAGCTTTTCTCTTGTGTGCTACTGTCTTTCCATTTCTGTTGTCGCTATCTAGAACTTTAGCTTAGCTGTGAGTGTGTCAGAAAGGGGACATTCCATGGATTTTTCCCGTTTTTATTTTGACCTACTTCTGATCTACTTGCACAGCAAGATGTCACTTGGTTCAAACACCTTATCTGCTTGTTAAGATATTTCCAGTTTCAAATTCCAATCCACTTGAAAAGATGTTAGCAGTTTTAACTTCTGATCTATATGAAAAGATGTTAGCAATTGATGACCCCATTCTCCCTATAAAGATGTTTCCAGTTTCAGCTTTTGATGTAAGCTACTTAATAAGATGTTTCCACTTTTAAACTGTTACCTGTTTGAAAAATATTATGTTTCCAGTTTTGTCTATTCAGCTACATGTAAAGATGTTTGTAATTTCAACTTTTGATCTGCTTATGACCATGTCTACAATTTCAACTCCTAATATATCGGTAAAGATGTGCTTAGTTTTTACTTCTGATGTGCTTGAAAGATGTTCACTGCTTCCACTGCCGGTCAACTTATAAAGATATAGAACTGTAAATGTCCACTCTGTTGAAGCAACTCTTATCAGTATTAAACCTATAAATTCTCACTTTGTTGTGGTCCCCAGTGACAGTGGAGATGGCCCACAAATTCCTGCTGGACTACCGCCTGGTGGCTGCTCCGACGATTAGCGCAAGCATCTTTGAGACACAGCACAAGGTCAGAACTGGGTTTGGTTTGATTATGATGATATCATTTTATACATGAGTCAGATTATATCACGATATTATACTTGGGTCAGATTTTGCTTTGTGTGTGCTAAACTGTATGTTGTTTACCACTTGAGACCTTTGTGAGGTCATACCAACTGGTACATACAGTTATATGAAAAAAGTTTTTGTACTGATCACTTTTGCTTGGAAAGAAAGCTTTAGGAAGCTGTACATGACAGACAGAAGATTGCAAAGATTCACCATCATAGCCTTGTCTTGAATGTCTCTATTTCTAACAAAAATCAGCAAAAAAGTTAAACTTGTGAAGTAGAGCTGGGATTTTTTGGCATTCTCATATTTACTATAGATCATCAGCCAGCTGTTAAAATGTAGTAAACTTGAATTTTTTTTTAAATTATCGCATTTTCTTAATCTGTGGTATCAGTTGCATGTGTTAAAGAAATTTTGTCGAAATCTTATATTCTTAACATTGAAAAATAAGCAAGAAAAAATACATAGTATAGGTACAATTGATAGAAAAAGTGAACAAAAGGTTTTTTCTCTCTCCTGTAAAAATTTGCGGTCTGAATTTAGTTCATTTTAACAGCCTGCTGTAATGTTGAATCATGGGGGGGCCAATTATGAGTTTGTTTTGTTTTCCATCTATCTGCATAGTTTGTATTTCATGTCCAGTTACACCAAAGGACGTAGTCTATCACCAAGGTACAAATAAACTTTCCTTAGGGGGAAGTCTACTGGAAGGAGGACATGAAGGAAGCACCGTTTACAACAAAGCCGATCCCGGAACTGGCTGATGTGAGCAAAATGATGTACGTATGGCTGACAGAGTACACTGCCAACACTTATGCCTACGCTGCTCAGACTCACAACTATCTTGTACGGAACCTGACAGCTCAAGATGTGAGTGTTTTCAATGTTTTGTGGTAGATATTTTGAGTGAAAATTAGTGGAATCGTAATCTTTCTTATTCTGTTTTCATAACAGTTATCAAATATTTCATACTGTGGTGTAACAGTAAGGTGCTTTACTGTCGCATGCAGGACACCCGAAATTGATAATTGATTCTTCAGTAGGGAGAAATTCTTATAGAGTATCTCAGTCTTTCTGCTGGGATGTTGTATCCCTCTCAGCCTGGGTTGGCCCTGGCAGGCAAGATCAGAAGCCCTTCTTCTAAATGACCCAGATCATGTTGATGAGGGTGTAAAAATTCCAACATAAAAAAAGGCATTTCATTTAGGTGGTTCTCAAAAAAAAACATTTTTTGTTGAAAAGGATGTTAAACACTGTAAACAATTACCAATTGGTGTGAAATGAATTCAACTCATTTGTTAACACTGTCAGATCATTGGAGATGCAGGACCTCCGAATTAGGTAATGTTGACCTTGGATAAAACAGTCAAGTCGGTGAAGAGTTTGGAAAAGTATCCAGACATATCAAATCTAAAAAAGCCAAACTAGGGGCTTGAACCAGGGTCCTTCACTTTGTTGAAACATTTCTTTGCATATTTCCAAATACCTATGCCTGTATTAAAGCACAGGTTAGATTGTCCCAAATGGTGGACATTTTTTTCTGTATTTATAGCTTTATAAGAGTGCCTTAGCAGAGTAAAAAAAAATTTCACTGTCCAGAACAGCACAGGAACAGCACCAAAAACTTTTTTGGGGGGGGTTTTATCCTCTTGCTAAACACTTTATCTTTCAGCTGAAACTGTGTTGTGTTGTCGAATGTCTTTCATTGATCATAGCAGAAGTCACAAGGTGGATGATTAGCAGGTGCTCTGGTGTGGTTTGCTTCTTCTTTCTTATCAAACAGCTATGGTTCTGATCTCTTCTCCTTCTTTTTTTGTATTTGTTTCACTATTGTAATGCCTCTACTAATCTTCATCACTTTTATATTGGCAGGGTATAGGCCACAGACAAACTCCTTCCATTTATCTCTGTCCTGGGCCTTCCTTCCAAGCTCGTTCCAAGTGAGCTTCATCTCTCTCATGTCCCTTTCCACACATCTCCTCCCTGTTTCCCGTGGCCTACCCCTGCCTCGTGCTCCCTGTGGGTTCCATTGCAGCGACTGTCTTGCAATGTTTCCGCTGGACTTTCTGAATGGTATTGTGTTGCAAGTGCTGTAAAACTCTGATTAAAACTAAACAGAAGTCACAAGTCACCTTAACTTTTAGTTTTTCTTTTTCGCTGAGAAATGTTCTCCTCTGCAGATGCACTGGTCATCATCAGACTTTGACTGATGAACTTTTAATTATATCATATATGTCAGTGATTATAGAATGTGGCTTTGGAGAACTGGGGTGTGGGAGAGATCTCTTGAGAGTGTGTGGGACTCTGGGTGTGGGAGGGGTCTCTTGAGAGTGTGTGGGACCTTGGGTGTGGGAGGGGTCTCTTGAGAGTGTGTGGGACACTGGGTGTGGGAGGGGTTTCTTGAGAGTGTGTGGGACATTGGCTGTCGGAGGGGTCTCTTGAGAGTGTGTGGGACATTGGCTGTGGGAGGGGTCTCTTGAGAGTGTGTGGGACACTGGGTGTGGGAGGGGTCTCTTGAGAGTGTGTGGAACTCTGAGTGTGGGAGGGGTCTCTTGAGAGTGTGTGGGACACCGGGTGTGGGAGGGGTCTCTTGAGAGTGTGTGGGACATAGGGTGTGGGAGGGGTCTCTTGAGAGTGTGTGGGACACTGGGTGTGGGAGGGGTCTCTTGAGAGTGTGTGGGATGTTGGATATTGGAGATCTCTCTAGAGAGTGTGTGGGATATTAGGTGTAGGAGAGTTCTTGAAAAAGTGTCTGGGATATCGGTGTGGGAGAGATCTCTAGAGAGTGTCGGGTATTGGATATGAGAGAAGATTCTCTCTCTGAACATCTTGGATATTAGTTGTGGAAGAAGCTTTTTTAGGGTGTCAGTGTATGATATTGAAATCTTAGAGGGTGGGGGTGAGGAAGGGTAGCTTTTTACTTAGTTTTTTAAAGCCCGTTTTCTGCCTTTGTCATCAGAAGATGTTGCTCATAATACTATTCTGTCCCACTCGGGTATGGGATTATAAAAGAAGGATGAATCCCCTATAAGTATAGTGGAATAATAAAAGAAGGATGAATCCCCTATAATTATCATGTTTGTTTCAGCTTCCTCCGGGAAACCGTTCCTTGCTCAACACAACCTGCAGTAAAGGGATGTGCATCGGGAAACTCATCCCTCAGGTGAGTGGTGAAACGTTGAAAAGTTTTTGCACTCATAAAAACTTGAAGTCCTTTTTTGACAGTTGTGCATCCCCGAGATTTGTTCTCTTAACTTCACAATAGCTTCCCGGGCTTATCGGTTCATTCCAATTTCTTCATCACATTCCCCCCAAAGGAAATTCGGCTTTTCAACCTGTTAGACATACATCAGTGTCTTTTTCATATTGTGTCCAAACCGACTGCCAAATTGACTGCGAAGTTTCCATTTGCAGCTTGAGGAAGAGAGAAAAATAGAGTGCAGTACCCTTTGTCAGGAGGCAACACACTATCTGAGGAACCAGTAGTGAAATCCATGTGTGTGAGGCATTGTTGTGAAATCAGGGGCTCTTCAAAATAATGAAACTGAAGAAACTGGCATTTTCCTGCAGGTTTGGCAATTTGGTTGAATTTTTGTTTTTTGACTCAACACCTTTTGTGTCCATTAAAGAACATGATTCTGTGTGGATTTTACTGAAAAACATTGATTAATGGCGCCAAAAATGTAAATTTTAAGTTTCTAAAGACTCATGCTGTGAAAATCACCAACTTTTGGCAGCCATTTTCTTGCTAGCTTTACCTCTGAAACCAGGCGACCCCACCTCGTTCAATGGCAAATATCTCCACTTTTATTCAAGATAAATGGGTATTTTTTCATCAAAAGAAAGACAAACGACAAGATTTAAGATGATACTAATAGTTCTACAAGCCCAAAAATTGAAGAACTCCTGATTCTAACGAGTCATGACACACATGTTCTTGTATGTGAAATAATATGGTCCCTGATGTGTGAGCAGTGTTGAGAGGATAGTGATACCGCAAGTAAGTTGGGTGGTAACACCCTCACAAGATGATTCTTTCTCAGCATAATTGAAAACATGTCTCTGAGATGTAGAGTGCACCAGTTATCATGAAAAGAAAACAGCTGTTTGTTCTTCTTACAAATAATAATAATAATAATAAATAATAAATAAATAGCATTTGTATAGCGCATATCCCCGCTCAACAGCAGGCTCTATGCGCTTTACACTATATTATTACCCCAGCAGACCATAGAACATTCCGAAACATTCTCAGCTTCCCGGGAAGCATACAGTGCAAGCAGCTGATTAAGCGCTCAAACACTAACAAACTGACAAGATCTTTCGCTGTCTATAGCCGGGTACCCATTCCCACCTGGGTGAAGTGAGGAAAATTCGTGTAAAGTGCCTTTCCCAAGGACACAACGTCGGGTCCCTGACGGGATTCGAACCCACGACCTTACGGTTGCGAGTCCGAGAGCCTAACCACTAGGCCACCGACGCCACAAATCTCGGGTACAACCTCGGCTCAGAGACATTTTACTTTTTTTTCCCTTATCACTCAGATCGGCAAGCAGTTCCCCAACTCAGTGGTGAGTGTGCATGCAGTGTCAACTGCTACGCCAGCTATTTCCATCACTCCAAAGGCAGTGGTCCTCTCTGCTCAGGGCAATGTGGATGTGTATGCTACAGAAGCCAACAAGACTTCCGTCTTCCTACTCAGGATGAATATGGTACAGTTATGTTTCATCCCTGTTCTTGATGTGCTGGTACTAGGCTGTTGCTTTAGTAAAAAAAAAAAACCCTGATTTATTCAAATCTGGATCAAATCAACTTATTTGAAGATTTAGTTTATAATTGAAAATGTTCCATATCTTTCTATCCTACTTTACTATTGATACCTCAATGTTCAGTGAATATTCAGAAACATTACTGAGACTGGATAATTTGGACAGAAGCCATGGTTTAAACTTTTTTTTCCAGTTTGGGACAAAATGAAATCTTGGTTTTCAATTCAAAGGCATTGAGGGTTGCTGATGAACTCTCTACAGGTTTTGTTCTTCTCGTTTTCACTGTACCTCTAGTCCTCATCTGTTTCTAGTGAAATGTAGCTGTTAGAGTCACAATGATTATAGTACCCTGGCAGATTATATAATATTCCAAAATGCTCTGAATTTCCTGGGAAGAATTCAGTGTCATCAACTTTTTCCCGCTCATAGGCAATTTTTATTGAATTTTCTTATATTGGGCTCAACACTTTTTATTACCTTTTAAAAGAACAATTGGTAGAGACCTTAATAACTTTGAATCTCTTCACTAGACAAACTTTCTAAAGAAGGCGGAAATAACACTAAGTTACCATAGCCACCCACTGACATCGGGATTTTAATTTTCTGCCGGCAGTAAACGGTATATTTCCAAAAAAGGAAGAACAGACTGATATAGGAATTTATTCGTACAAACTGAAGTGAGAGAGAGAGAGA